TTCCGATTTCTTCAGTGCCCCAAGGACTTGCTCCACCAATTATTTTTCCTTACCCCTCTACAGAAACTGCTCCACTGAAGCTTCTAATGAAACCTTGTTTGACAAACCCAGTGGCTGCCCCGAGTCCTCTGCCTTCTAACCCTCTCCCAGGGCATTTTTCCCCTGTTGGCCATGCCCCTGGCCCTCAGCCTCCATCACCTTACAAAACACGATCCTCCTCTGGTCTCCTCCTTGCACAGCTGATGTTCGCACTCCGTTTTTTCAATGCAGAAGTTTGACCCCCACCTTAGACACGTAACTCAGAATCTCATTCTGGGGCCCAGACATTTTTGCTTTTTCAAAGTTCCTCAGGTGATCTGGCTGCACAGCCAAGGTAAGAACCACTACCCTTAATAAACCAGACATGGCAGGTAAATATGCATGATTCCACTCACGTGAGGCATTCAAATAGTCAAATTCATGGAGATGGGAAGTAGAACAGGGGTTACCAGGGCCATGCAGACTCCATGCCATCACTGTTTCCTTCACCTGAAGTGTCTTTTCCTGCCTTCCTGCCTTGCCTGATTTATCCCTACTCCTCCCTCGGGCTCAGCTCAGGGCTGGTGCTAGGCTAATTGGGCAATGCATTCTCTCTCTCTCTCCCTCAGCAATCTCATTTGTTCATAGCTGCAGCTCTTCCAAACATATTATTCATTCCCAAACCACCTTCAGCCCTGGCAGTGCTCCTGACTTCCGACTCAAATTCACATTTCCCACCAGCTCTTCTCCACAGACACCCTCTTTCCTCTGGCACCTCAAACCCAGTATGTCCAAAACTTGAGTTATCTATCATTTGCCTTCTTTCTACCTTGCTTTTTTCTCCTGTGTTTCTTTTTCAAAAATTAGCATCATCATGTATTGTGTATATCAAATACTTAGGATGGTGCTTATAGCTATTGTTATTATGTGGAGGTTAATAATATTAACAGTGATCGACTTATAACAGTAGAAATGTGTTAAAGACTTTTAGAAACATGGTAAAACTGGTAATGAAGTACATACCACTCCACAGCATCTCCATATTTAAAATAGCATTTAAAAAGTCAGTCTCTTAGAATATCAAGGTGATCTTAGCAAAGTAACTTGGGGCCAAATACATACTGTAATTGATTATTCCCAGAGCAATACTAGGTACAGTGAAGAAAACTTCCTTTGAAAAGTGGAGCTTTGCCAGAAAGTGTGAGGAAAAATAGAAATACTAAAATATGTATGTCAGATATATAGACTAAGAAGACACAGGTGGCCAAAGGTTAAACAACTTGATGTCTCTCTAATCAGGATGTGCTATAGATTATATGTCTTTCAAAATAAGTATTAAGATTAACTGACTAAACAAAATAAGTGTAATACTGTCCCAAAGATGAGCCAATCTGAATGAATAAACAAATCGTGGTATGTACATATAATGGATTATTCAAACTTAAAAAGGAATGAAATTCTGACACATGCCACAACGTGGAAGAACCTTGAAAACATTATGCTAAATGAAATAAGCCAGTCACAAAAGGACAAACGCTGTATGATTTTACTTCTATGAGGTACTTAACGTAGTCACGTTCATAGAGACAGAACATAAAATGATGGTTCTCAGGGACTGCGGGGGAGGAATAGGAGTTAGTTTTTTTGTCTTTTTTAAAATACATTTTATTGATTTTTCACAGAGAGGAAGGGAGAGGGATAGAGAGTCAGAAACATCGATGAGAGAGAAACACTGATCAGCCGCCTCCTGCACACCCCCCACTGGGGATGTGCCCACAACCAAGGTACATGCCCTTGACCGGAATCGAACCTAGGACCCTTCAGTCCACAGGCTGACGCTCTATCCACTGAGTCAAACCGGCTATGGCAGGAGTTAGTTTTAATGGACACAGAGTTTCAGTTCAGGAAGATAAAGAAGTTTCAGAGATGGATAATGGTGATGATTCCACAACAGTGTGAATGTGTTTATGCCACTGAACTGCACTCTTAAAGATGGTTAAGGTGGGTGGTAAATTTTATGTTATGTATGTTTTACCACAATTAAAAAAAAAATGAAAATAAGACCCATTAAGCTCATTAGTTAATAGACAACCATAAAGTTTCCTTAGGTATTCATAGGGTGGGGCAAAAGTAGCTTTAGAGTTGCAAAACACCGAGTTTATCCTTATATTATTATTTATTATATATTTCCCTACTAATAGGTATAATTTATAAACTTTCATATATATGTAATATACTTCTCAAGGTTGAAATATCAGTAAGGAGAACAGTTTGGGAAGCAACTTTCAAGTATATTGAAATTAAAATTGGAAAGAAATAATTGAAAATGAAAGTATAACTTGCATCTAAGAAATAGCTGCAGGAGGAGGAGGATGGTCCTTTTAAAGAGAGAACAACAGGGAAATAAGAGGTACTTTATTTTAATACAAAAGTCAATTAGAACAGAAATTCTAACATAAACCTGTCCCTACACCTCTGCCATTATACAAATGGAATATTTAATTTTGAGTGTCATGGAAAAATGAAGAACTATGAATATTAAAATTGCATTGTATTCTCTTTTTGATTGAATACCTTTTTACTGGAAAACATCACATCAAAAATATTTCCCAAAATAATAAAGTTAGCATGTCCAATATGTTCTTCCCCAGCCGCTCCTGAAGAGGCTTTAGAGAAGCAGTTAGTGTTCCCAAAACATCCATGTGCTTCTCCACCTCCTCCAGGCTCCCTGGGGTTTGGGGCTGGGGCCATGTGACTAGTCCTGGCCAGTAGCAGGCTGCCAGGTGCCACTTCCTAGCTGAAGCAGTTAAAAGCCTGTGAGCCTCGTCCTCTCTATATCCCTGTCCTGGTGACTGGCAGGTGAGAAGGTGATAGAGATCACAAGATACAGGAAGTCTAGATCCCCAAGAGGTTGCTTGGACACAGACCCTGCCAGCCTGCTCTGGACTTTCTGATAAATAACATTTTGTTTCTTAAGCCACTGAGATGTGAGGATTTATTTGTACCATCACACAGCCACACACTTTCACTGACATAGAGTGATGATAAAGTAGGAATTATTAGTAGCCTTCATTAAATTCTAAGAACGCTAGAGGGCACAACTGTGCTATGGAAAATCTTGGCCTATATTGTAAATGAAGCAAGGTGAGGAATTTTAGTAAATCCGTTAGCTACATTTCGCCATTTGAGATCATTAAATAAAAAAGAATTCACAATACTTTCATTTTGACACAACACCAATAAATTCCAAAAACACGTAAAGCATGTGTATACATTTACAAACATGAATATTTACATCATAAAACTAGTAGAGTGTTCTCAGTGTAAGAGAAGAGTTTGTTTTCCATCTGTATTTTTTTTTTCTTTCTTCAAATAGGCTTATCTACTGGCAGTGCCTGTTAGGCCACGCAATCCATACATATTCTAACCGGATCACTTGAGAAAGCTGAAGTTTTTAAGGTCTCATTATAAAAGGTGACCAGATGTTCCAAACATCAAGTTGTGACAGGAAGCTCCCCACCCATTGCAAATGTCATGCTGAGTTCTGAGCAGACTTCCTTTTCCTGTTTCCTTTTTCCCCTCTCTCCCATTTTTTTTCTTCAAATCTATTCAAAAGCTGCTGCCAAAACTGTCTTCCTCTATTGTTGTTCTGATGACATCATCCCCTTCCCTAGCTCACCCTTGTCTCATGATCAAAGTTTGCCTTCATTTCCTTGGACTGTGGCTGTGCCTTCCTCTATGTCATTTTCCCCTTATACCTGCTTCTTCTCACCAACTGCTACCCAGGATTGTTATTTTTGATGTCTCAGAGTTGAGGTATCTCATTTATCTGTACTTTGAACAAAGAGAGTATTCCTGTGTCTTTATCCCAGACTTTCCCAGGTCTCTTCCAAACCAGCGTCAGGTACATATTCATGCTCTGGAACTTATTACGCACCTTCTACAGGCATGGCATTGTCCTGGGTCCTCTAGGGCAGAGTATGAAAGAAGTGAAAGGCATGGTCCTTAAACTCAAAGTTACCAGGAAGCCATTCAAGTTGGGCCCTTGGGAGACCACCTGGAATTTATTCTTCTTTAGAGACTGAAGAAATAGGAGGAAATTATTCAATATCAAATAACTACACCATCAGAATGGCAGATTTGGGGTAATTCTAATTATTTTATCATCTTATCAAGATGATAACTTCAATAAAAAAAGATTTGAGTCTTAAATTGGTGTTAAGGATATAAATCCTGCACCAACTTACAAAAACTATTATTCCCACTACATATCACACTCCTTTAAAAATATTTTTGAGTGAGTTTAAGACAATATCATATCAGTATCATGTCAACAGAGAAATTTTATTATAGCACCTTAGAAAAAGGCAGCTGAGTCAAACCCAAGACTCTAACTTTAATATGAGAAAAGTTATCATCTAAAGTATATGATATTATTTAGTGAACCAAACTGGAGTATAAAATTAGTTACTGTGGTTATAACCTACTGTTATTGATGTGATATATACAGAGTCCATTTTGCATTCCTATTAATGTAAAATTTTGAGATTTTAAAATGCCTAATAATCACATGTATTGAAAGAACATCATTTCTTTTTTTATTATTAATTTCAGAGAGGAAGGGAGAGGGAGAGAGACAGAACATCAATATTGAGAGAGAGAATAATTGATCGGCCTCCTGCACACCCCCTACTGGGGATAGAGCCTGCAACCCAGGCATATGCCCTTGATTGAAATCAAACCTGGGACCCTTCAGTCTGCAGGCTGATGCTCTATCCACTGAGCCAAACTGGCTAGGGCAAGAAAATCACTTCTTAACTGAAGACCTGGATGATATTTTTTACATAAGAGTTTAGCGTTTAGTCTAATTAGATTTGGTGTATTAGAAAGCATACTAAGTTAACAGTTCCTAAGTCAGTCATTAATTTGGTGCTTGGTGCTTGGCGTACTAGTTTGAATCTCTCATTCCTCAGTTTCCTCACCTGTAAAGTGGGAATAGTGACATCTACTTACCCACTCTTTAAGATTGTAGTAAGAATCTAATGAAAGAAAGAAAAAAAAAGATTGTTGTAAGAATCAGATGTGATAGTATACTCAAATAATTTGACAAGTATAAAGTTTTTTTTTTAATATATTTTATTGATTTTTTACAGAGAGGAAGGGAGGAGAGGGATACAGAGTTAGAAACATCGATTCAGCTGCCTCTTGCATGCCCCCTACTGGGGATGTGCCCACAACCAAGGTACATGCCCTTGACCGGAATCGAACCTGGGACCCTTCAGTCCGCAGGCCGACGCTCTATCCGCTGAGCCAAACCAGTTAGGGCTATAAAGTATTTTTCAAAGTAAGGCAATATTGTCATTATATTTATGCCACTGAGATTAAAGATGTTGTGGTGCAAACAAATTATATACTTTATTGTCTGGATCAACTAAAAGTTCATGTCATCTTTAGTTGTTTATGGAAACTGTTTTAGACTTACAGGCTTAAATGGCAACATAATATTAAGTAAATTAAATGATCTGCCTCTGCTATTATAACTTCTCCAAATGCTTCATTTCAAATCAAGTTAATATTTGTGCATAAGAAAAATTATTTATTCTCAAAAATGTATATTTTTAGGATTACAGAATTCAAATTCCCTGTCATATTTTTCCTGACACAATAATATTAAGTATTCTTAACATTTTTATCATGTGCTTACTATGTAGCAGGCATTAAACTAGAAAATAAAAGCTAGAAATAGAAATAAAATGAAAGGTACCTGCCATAGAAGAGTATTATTATTTTACTTGAGTGTTTAAAATTAAAAACATAATTTGATATTTTAAATAACTATAGAGTCAAAGAAATAGTATTGGTATGCCACATTTATTAAATTGTATTAATATTTCTTATTAGATATAACCTAAACATAACCCAAAGTAAGAGGCAACAGGCATTCTTTGAGATAAAAAAAAAAAAAAGCTATTGGAGAAGCACTGATTCAGGCAGAAACCCACGGGTTCTGATTAGGAGTCAAAGGCAAGGGGTATCTGTAAGAAAGAGAAGAGTGGCCTATAGGGCTTGGCTCAGTGGGTAGAGTGTTCACCTGCAGACTAAAGTTCGATGCTGGTCAAAGGGGAGCTTGTTGTTTTTAATTTTTAGTACCATAGTCATTAGTTCTTAAGTTATAATGTCTACTTTCCTGTTATCCTTTCAAACAGTTCTTTTGGACACAGGGTTGCTTTCGGCCCAGACCAAAGTTCATTTTGCCCCATTTTAACATTCCAAAGGTTTGAGGCATGGCAGCTCTGGCTCCATTTTATTTTATTTTATTTTATTTTTTTTGCGTTTCCCCGTTTTAATGCGCATGTTACACACGGCGTGTATCCACTTACAACACGAGAGCCACACGGCCCCTCTCACATGCAGACAGCAGGTCACGAGTAGTTTGAGCTACACATACATCTTGCACAGATATTGGGAAAAAATCTGTGAATTTTTTACAGTTTTAACAAATATACATAAATATAAGGACATAAATTACAGGACGATATCGACAGCATTGAGAACGTCGGTAACTCAGAGGCGCGGATGCCCGAAGGGCCTGGGACGACGGGAAAGCCCCATCCGACATCCGTCCCTCCTGTCTCTCCAAGTAAGTACGTGCATCACAGGAGATGCTAGCGACTCTCTAACGACTCAGTGAGAAACGCGTGCCCGTGAGCCTCTACCCTCCTGTCTGACACGCTGACGCTCCCCTAGGCCCACGGCTGCCGCACCCACCCGCGCCCGGGTCCCATGATCGCCCGGTCACATGATCGCCCGCATCTTCCTGAGAACGAGGCTCCCAGGAGCCCGGCACAGGCCGTCCGGGGACAGCCCCGCCCACGGCACGTGTGCGCTCGCTCTGAGCCGCCCTCTCGGATGGGATACAGGAGAAGAAAAACTCAACGTAAGCAAAGTCATGGAAGCTGTTTTAAAATTAAAGTGTAGCCCTTTGTACATGTGTAAGTTCTAATAGAGTTTGGATGTCAGTTATAAATAAAATGAGGAAAAGGGCCGCTCCCGCCCCAGCTCAGGCGACCGGCCCTCGGGCGGGAAGCAGACAACACTGATTAACCCGCAACGTGCTCCTGGCTGAGCTCCCGGGGGCTCCGCAAACCTCTAGCAGGTCCCACACCCCCGCAAGCCGAGACGTTAATACTAGTGAGTGAGAAACACAGGTGGGCACGCTTACTGCGGCTCCGACGCTCTGACACCAGGAAACACGAGGTCCCGTCAGACCAACACCAGGGCCCCGCGCGGCCTGCGCGGCCACCT